TTGCCCAGGGCAAAGCCTAGCCCTCAGCATTGTAAGATCTAACTGGTGCTGGGAGCTTTCTGTGAAGGGAAGAGAGGGGCACTGAGGAGGTGGGCTAGAAGAAGGAAACTTCTTGAGGGAAGCAGCTAGACAGGCTTCAAGCTGGTGATACAGGAAAGAGGGTAAACAGAACATCATAGGATCCAGAGAAGCAGGGCATGAGCCAGGTTGAAGGGAGGCGAGGCAGACAGGGTAGGTGCAGACAGATGTGTAGGCTTAGGACAGGACTTCAGGACACTTCTGGGAGATGGGGTAGGGCCACTGCTAGGCATCAGGGAAGCAATAGGGGTGTCAGAGAAAAGCAGGGATAGCTTGACAGGATTGAGTCTAGCAATCATGAAAAGAAAGAGTTCCTAAAAATAGCGAGGGACCATGAGAAATCAATCCAGCAGCTACCAGATGTTGCAAAGAAGAATAATATAAGATAGATTGGAGCAGGAGATAAGACAAATGACATAAAAAAACTGGTCACAGAAGTAATGGCAGAAAACTTCCCAAATGGGGGAAATAGAATTCGACATACAGATAAGAGGCATATAGGATTCCAATTAGCCATGATCAAAAAAATCTTCACCAAGGCATATAATAGCCAATATTTCAGAAATTCAACACAAGGACAGAATATTAAAAGCTGTTAGGGAAAAGAAACAAATCACCTATAAAGAGAGCCCATCAGAATCACAGCAGATTTCTCATAACAAACCTTCAAGGCAAGAAGAGCTTGGAGTGACATATTTCAAGCCCTAAAGGAAAACAATCTCCAAATCAGATTGATGTACCCTGCAAAACTCTCTTTTAAAATTGATGGAGAGGGCCGGGGATTTAGCACAGTGGTTCTGCTGCCTGCCTTGAAAGCACAAGGTCCCGAGATAGATCCCTGGTACTAAAAAAATATTTGATGGAGAAATAAGATACTTCCATGACAAAGAACACCTGAGGAAATTCATGATCACCAAACCAGCACTCCAAAGTGCTCTGAAGGATATTCTAGGAAGAGATAACAAGGATTTCAACTCCATGAACCCCAAAAGAATTATTCCACCTGGCAAGGCAAGAAATTAAACAGGAGGAAAGAACGAAGCCAACAACAGGGAAATAACATGACAGGGATAAGTCAAGACATATCAGTTATAACCATCAATGTTAATGGTCTCAGTTCACCAATCAAAAGAAACAGACTGGCAGAATGATCAAGAAGCAAGACCCAAAAATGTGCTACATACAAGGAACATATTTTATTTGAAAAGAAATTTACAGACTGAAAGGCAAAGGATGGAAAACAAAGTCAACACACAAAAATCAATAGTGTTTTTCTGTACACCAATAATAAACTCACCAAGAAAGTAATTAGGGAAAAAATACATTTCACAGTCACATTAAGAAAACTTAAATACATGGGAATTAACCTAACTGAAAAAATAAATAAAACCTGTATAATGAAAACAACATTATTCTGAAAAAGGAAATCAAAGAGAACATCAGAAAATAAGCTATCTCTGTTCTTGGATAGGCAAAACCAGTATAGTCAAAATGGCCATACTTCCAAAACTGATAGATATATGTCATTCCCAGTTAAAAAAAATATCAACAACGTGCCTTACAGTACTAGAGAAAAAGAATCCTAAAACTCATATCAAACCATAAGAGACATAGAATACCAAAAGCAATCCTGGGCAAACAGAACAAGGCAAAAGGAGTCACAATTCCAGACTTCAAGTTATGTTATAAACCTACAGTGATTAAAAAAAAAAAGGCATGGTATTGCCAAAAATACCATGTGGATCAATGGAGCAGAATAGGTGATGGAGAAAAAAACCAGGCACATTCACCACCAGATCTTTGACAAAGGGGCCTAAAACCTACGTTGGAGGAAAGATAGCCTCTCTTTAGTAAATAGCCATTGGAAATCTGGTTACCCACATGCAGAAGACTAAATCTATACCTATATCTCTCACCACGTACTAAACTGAAATTAAAATGGACCAAAGACCTAAATATTAAAACAAAATCATTTAATCTGCTGAAAGATAAAATAGGTACAACTCGAATAAACAAGTATTGGCAAAGACTTTCTGAACAGATCCCCAGTTGCACAAGAGATAACACCAAGAACCAACAAATGAGACTGTATTAAATTAAAGAGCTTCTCCATAGCAAAGAAAACAACCAACAGTGTGAAAAGACAACCTAAAGAATGGGAAAAAATTGCCAGTTATTATTCCTCGGACAGTGGATAAATATCTAGAATACATAAAGAACTCAAAAAGTTAGACACTCCAAAATAAAAGACACAATCAAAAATGGGCAGCTAAAATGAACATTTTCAGAAGAAGAAATTCAAGTAGCTAATAAATATATTACAAAAGGTTTAAGATCTCTGACCATTACAAAAATACAGATTAAAACAACACTGAGATTCCATCTTACTCCCGAAAGAATGGCTGTTATTAAGAAAGCAGATAACAACAAATGCTGGGGAGACTGTGGCGGGAAAAGGAACCCTTCTTTATTGTTGGTGGGAACGTACACTAGTATGACCATGATTGAAACCATTATCGAGATCCATTGAAAATTTAAAAATAGATATTTTTTGAGTTGTTTATTTCCTTTTTAAGTATCTTCCTGAAAGAGTTGAAATTACAGTTGTACAGGAATACCCATGTTTATAGGAGCACAATTTAAAACAGCTAAATCTTGGAAGCATCCTATGTATCTATCAACAGATGAACAGGTGAAGAAAGTGTGGTATTTATGCACAATGGAGTACTACTCTGGCAGAGAGAAGGATAATCTTGAGTCATTTGTAGGAAAATGAATGCACCTTGAAACCACTGACAGAAATCAGACACACAAACAAATATCTCATGGTTTCTCTTATATAAAAAACCCAAATATAAAGAAAGAGAAAAATAAAAGATAGATAATGGGGAGAAAATAGAAGGGTCGATTGGGGTGGAGGGTAGGAAAAAATGCAGCAAATGTGAGGGAAAGGAGAAGGGGATCTAAAAGTAATTAAGATGTATTAGGAACATGTTCCATCTTCTCCCAATGAATGTAATCGTTATGTACTACATGCATGTGCTTATAAATAAAATTAGCTTGGACTTGGGATGTAGCTCAATGGTAGAGCACTAGCCTACAAGCCTGAGATCCTAGTTTTGAACCCTGGCACACAACAACAGTAAAATACATTCTTCCTAGGAGCACTGGGACTTTCTTCAAAAGAGACCACATGCTAACCCATAAATGTTTAAGTAAATGCAAAAGAACTGAAATTATCCCATGAATATATTAACTCATAGTGTAATGAAACTAAAAATCAATGGCAAAAGAAACCACAGAAACTATACGAACACATAGAAATTAAATAATACTCTTTTGAACCATAAATGGGTCACAGAAAAAAAATCCAGGAAGAAACTAGAGAGTTCCTAGAATGAAACAATAATGCCAGTACAACATACCCAAACCTATGGGACACAATGAAAACAGGCCTAAGAGGGAAGGTTATAGCTGTGAATGCCCACATCAGAAAAACATAGCAAGTCCAAATAAATAAATGGAGTACTACTCTGGCACAGAGAAGGATAACCTTGAGTTATTTGTAGGAAAATGGATGCACCTTGAGACCATAAAGTTAAGTGAAAGAAATCAGACACATAAGCTTAAATATCACATGGTTTGTCTTATTTGAGAAACTGAAAATATAAATGATGAGCAAAATAAAACACAGATAATGAGGGAAAAAAGATGGCAAATCAGGGAGGGAGGGTAGCAAAAATGTAGCAGGCGTGAGAGAAAGCAGGGGAAAAGGGTTGTAAAAAGATTAATATGTATTATGTATATGTTCCAACTTCTCACAATGAATATAATCATTATGTACTACATTCATGTACTAAAAAAATAAATTAGCTTAGGCTATGGATGTAGCCCAGTGACAGCGTTGCCCTACAAGCATGAGGGCCTAGTTGTGAACTCTGGCACTGCAAATTAAATACAAAAAAATAAAGTTACCTTATGTGTTTACTTGTTCATTGTCTGTCTCTCCTGTTGGACAGGAGGCCATGTGGCAGCCCACAACCAAGAGCTGACAAAGGCATAGTCCCAGCCATCACCTTCACTCCCTAAGCTAAGGCTGTAGCCCCTGATCCCTGCTCCAACACTTCTTCCCCTCTTGCTATCTGTGTTAGTTTGTGAGGATTGCCATAAAGAAGTGCCAGAAACTGGGTGGCTGAACCGCAAAATGTATTGTTCCACACTTACAGAGACTGATGTCTGGAGTCAGAGTCTCACAGGGCAAGGCTTTCTCTGAAGGCTCCAGAGGAGAATTCTTCATCTCTTTCAGCTTCTGGAGCTTGTTTGCAATCCTTGGTGTTGCCTGACTCACACCTGCCACACTTCCATCTCTGTCTTGCTTGTCACATGGCCTTTGCTTTTTGGTAACTGTATCTGTTCTCCTTTTGAAAGGACGCCAGTCATAGTGCATCAAATGTCCACCCCATTCCAGTATGATCTCAACTGATAATCTCTGTAATGACCCTATTTCTAAAAATGTTGACTTTTTTTTTTTTTTTTTGCCAGTGCTCAGATGAAACAACCTAGGGCAGTGTGCATAGCAGGCAAGTTCTCTAGCACTGAACCACATCCCTATCTCAGAAAAGATCACATTCTGAAGTCATGGGAAATAGGCCTTCAACAAATCTTTTTGGAGGGAGAACGAGGGCAGAATTAAATACATAAGTTTTCTACAACCAATTCTCCACAAATCTGACCAAGTGAAATTTTATAGAGCACATTTTTCAATGAACACTTACAGAAAAATTGAATGAATAGGTGAATGAAATGAATGAGTAAACAAAGAAATAATGACTCAATGAACCAACAATGAATGAGGGAGAGGTGATGCAAGGCCAACGCAAAGGTGGTATAATGTGCTGCCAACCGACCCCACGAGGTGGCGATGCAGGGAGCGGTTGCGATTGGAAAGATGGGCCCCTGCCGCTCTTGCCCTTTGTGCTGGCCTAGGCGCGGGCCACAGGGCGAGTCATATGACCCGCTCGATTCCTGGCCCCAGCCGGGGTTCTCTTCTGTGTCTGCTCGGGTCCAGCTGGGACTACAAGGAACCTTTAAAGGGTCCGCCCCGAGGCCCGCTCTTGTGGAAGTAGTCGCCGTCGCCGTCGCCGTCGCCGTTTGCCCGCCCTTCCGTCTGTCCTCTCCAAGTCTGCACCAGCCTGGCGCTCATCTCCTGCCTGTGGGACTGGTTCCGCTCGTTCTTCTGGAAGGAAGAGATGGAGCTGACCTTCGTGGGGCTGCAGTAAGACCACCTTCGTTAGTATCATCCGCGAGCTCACCGATTCGGTTTCGCAGCCAGCGAGCCGGCTGGACATCTCCCTCCAGGCCGGATTTAAGCCCTCCGTTCTTGGCGCGCCGGGCCGGTGGTGTAGGAGGGGGCTGCCCAGACGTCCTGTCACCTCTCAGGGGCCAGGAGTTGGCGGCAGAGATTGTAGCTCCAAGGTCAGCAAATGAAGATTTAATTCCATGTAGCCTTGAAAGGGCTGATCTTTTAGTGCGGTGGATGCTTGGAAAAGATCTAATTGAGCTTGGGGGGGGGCAGCTAAAGGGTTAACTCCGCCTGTTACTTTCCTTAAGGGTAGGATTTTGGTGAGTCTGTCATTTTCCAGAACTCGAAAGTGAAGAGCCTCTCAAGTTGCTACGTGGGAGAAAGAGCCCCATTGTGAAAGCAGGAGACAGGTGTGGGCGCTTTCCAATGCTGTGGGCAGCTTTGTCAGAGTTGAGTGAGCCAAAATAGTCCAGGTTCTTATGTACCTAGAGGAATGAATTGCCACACCTGGCAGTATGTAGTAAATCGCTATGTTCATTGAAGATCACACTTAGCTGAAGGCACCTCTGACTCTAGATGCCTCCCACTGTGTCTCTCAGTTGTGTCTGAATTCTGCTGTCTCAAGCATCTTGACCTCCTAGACTTTTGTTATTTTATTTTGTGCCTCTTTTAGTATACTGAAAGTGTGGACAATCATTAAATTGGTGTTTCTAATTGAATGAAGGGAAGGGAGTGGCTCACTCAACTTCCCTGTTTCTAACTGTATAATGGAAGCTGGATAATTATTAGGGTGGTGTGGTGTTTACAGTTGAATAGAGGGAAGAGAGTGATTCACTCAGCTCCTTCGTTTCCAACTGTACTAGCTTGACCTGTCCAATTTATTTATTTTCATTTGTTCTGAGGTCAAAGACCAAGGGGATTGCTTATGACTCTTAAGTCCTTGGTGAAATAGAGCAACAAGGGTGAGTAAGACTTGGAGAAAAAGAGATTAGCAGAAATCCAAACCTTTATTGAAGAATGCTGCACAGAAGTATAAAGAAAACTGCCTACTTGTATGGCTCCTTTTGTGACTTTTTTTCTTGGAATGACTGTCTTTTGTACAGGTGTATATAAGAGTGCCCCTAAAACTAATATGGAAAAACAAACTTTAGGAAATGTACTCATTTTAGAGCTTTTATGTGATAATGGAGGTTGGTTGAGATGGTGCGTGCCTGTAATGACAGCACTCGGGATGTTGTGGGACTTTGAGAGTCCAGAGAGACCAGGTGAAACAGGAGGATTTATTTTAGGTGTACACCAGCTTAGCAGAATCATATCCAAAGACTGAGCCCGGAACAAAGAAAGGACTCTAGTTTTATACGTGTGGTCAAAGGGGTTGCTGAATCTAATTGAATGAAAATAGTGAGTGGGCAAGCGAGTTCATAGAAGTGAGACAAAGGCAGTTAATAAAGCAGTGGCACTTCTGCAACTTTGCAACAACCATAGAGAGGGGAAAAATTGTAAGGGGAAACTGCTTAAGGTTGGAGAAGCTTGTTTTCCATGTTAAGTTTTGCTTCAGGGAGGCTGAGGCAGAGGATCACTGAGAGTTTGAGATGAGCATGGGCTACATAGTGAGTTCAAGGCCTTATTTTGCAGTACATAATAAGGCTTTATTTAGCCTGAGTGGAATGAATTTTCTGATATTTGTTTGCAGTAAGAATTGCAGTCATTTTATAAATCCTATCCCTTTCACAAGATTGAATTAATATACAGTGTAGCTAAGTGTGTTACTACAAGCAGTTGCACTTGTTGCAGAGAAGTAGTTATGCATGGAAAACCCAAAAAGTTTGAATAAATCTTTGAGAAACTTCTTGCTGATTTTTATGCTTATGTCTTTAATTGATAGAGTAGCTTAACATAATAAGCACGGACTTTGATGTCAAGCTACTCAGGACTTGATGATATCTGCATCAGCCACTTAGCAGCCTTGTATCCTCTTTGAGTCTTTACTTTCTCATCTGTTAAATGCAGATAGTCAAGTTTCTTACAGAGTTGCTCTAAGGATTAAGTGGATGAAAAATGTTAAGTGGCTAGCACCATGCCTGCCTGGAGGAATAGGTTAGTAGTAGCTGTTGTTATTTATAGGAGCTCTACCCATTTAATGCAGAAACAGTGAAAAATACTGAGAAGGAACTCTCAGGATATATCCAAATGTAGACTACAGTGGTGGATTCATGGTTTGTATAAAGTATTCATATCATGTTCCCCCCTCTTTTGCATTAGATTATTTTGCCTAATTCCGGAAAACTTCTGCAAAGCTGTTCAATTCACAGTGACTCTGGTTCCACTATTAATACTAGACTATTCTTTTTAATTTATTTATTTATTTATTTATTTATTTGGTACCAGGGATCGAACTCACTCGGGTCCTTGTGCTTACAAGGCAGGCACCAGAACCACTGGGCTAAATCCCCAGCCCTAGACTATCCTTTTTAAGTTTTAATGGTGTGGATAGGTTCTGGGTTTTGGTTTGCTATAGTGGGGCTTTTCAATGAGCTACGTCCCCAGCCCTTTTTTATTTTTCATTTTGAGAAACTGTTTCACTAAGTCAGCAAATTGCCTTGTCTGGGCTGGACTTTGAGATCATCCTGCCTTAGCCTCCAAGAGTGGTGAGATTTCAGGCATTTACCACCCTGCCTTGGAGATAAGTTCTGTTACGAAAAATAAATCCAGTGGCACAAAAAATAAATGAAGATCTATTAAATGACTTGATTTAATCATCCAACTTGCATGTATATATCACATTATACCCCATAAATATATATAACTATTACTCACCAATTAAAAATAATGATTTAGATAAGGAAAAAACTGGAGTATCCTTGTTGGTGCGCTTTAAAATCCTGAAAAGGACACCTTGATAAATTTCATCCCTTCATTTAAATTTCAGACTGAAAATTAATGTATGAGTCATAAAATATATTGAAGATGAAAAAAAGGATAATGATCAAAGGATTAGAGATTTTTAGATAGAAACAGTGCATGTAAAAGAGTAAAATGGGCCTTAATCTTTAAAAGACCAAATGCACAATTCTTTGTATTTTGTATGAAATGTTTGATTTTTAAGAAATACAGATTGTTGAACACTGTGTTCTTTAGGAAAAGAAGATATTTGGGAAGACTGTAGAAATCTGAATCTGGATCTTAGAGTTTGTAGAAAAGTAGTCTAATTTTGCCATCATTTTACAGCTGTGGCTAGGATATCCAGAGAGGTTAAGTAAGATTCCAAGAGCAGCAAAACTAATAAGTAGCAGAGAGAGAATTAGAACTTAGAGTTAATGCACTTTCTACTTTTTCCACCCATTTCTTTAGATAAGCATGAAGTTACAATTGTAGAACTGCAAATTGAGAGATTGTATTCCTTTAAAGGAATCTTTTTTTTCTGTATGTAATCTGTACTTTCACATGTGTGTAACTTTTTTTTCCCTGGTACTAGGGATTGAACACCAGGAAGCTCTACCACTGATCTACATGCTCAGCCCTTTTTTATTTTTTGTTTTGTGGCAGTGTCTCACTAAATTGTTGACATTATAGCTGTGTACTACAGTGTCCTGGTATAGTATTTTGTTTTGTTTTAGTCTGAGAAAAGGTCCTAATAAATTGTCCAAGCTGGTTTAACTTTCATTTCTCCTGCCTCTGCCTCCCAAGTAGCTGAGATTATAAATGCATCTTCTACATTGGGACTGAAAACATTTTAATGCCTTTGTAGTTAATAGATTTGCTCATTCCTTCATTACTAGACATCTGAGTGGTTTTCATGGCTTTGCTGTTGTCTATCAGTTTGATCTGGAATGAGCTCCAGAGGATGAGTTCCAGAGTTGGCATTTCAACATACATCACATTAACTAAATGACCAAATTGCTTTCCAGAAAGTGTGCACTGAGCAGATCTTCTGGATGGATTTCATGTGTAGAGTTGGACTTCAGCTAAAGACTGTGTCTTTTGTGTTTGTCGGATAAAACATGATTAGTTTTGTTGATGAGGCAAACTAGCAGTAATTGTAAAGTATCGTATTAGATATTGTTCTGTTTTTCTGTTTAGTATGTTTTAAGAAGCTGTTGTTTCTGTTTCAGCAGTTGCCAGGACTAAGACTGTAGAAAACATACTTCTTTTTTTTATTATTTGTAGGCAAGCTGTATAAATAGAAATATAGCTCATCTATCATGATACTAATTTGTTGTAAATTTAATGGTAGGTTACATATTCCGGAATCTGATAATGTTTCCATGTTATCCTCATTTAATCCTTTGGTACATAGTATATCTAGATTCTTCTTTTTCTACCCATTTTCCTCCCTCTAACCTTTCTTCTTCTCCTTACTTACAAAAGCTTTGTTTCCATTTTTTCCCCTGTATTGTTTTTTTTTTTATCCCATTTCCCTTTTTTCGTTTCCTCCTCCCCCCTCCCCCATTTTCCTTTTCAGTTGAACATTTTCTTCCTGGTTCCCAGTATCTGTCATCCATTTTGGTCCTTATTTTTGCTTTTGGGTTGTCAGATAAGAGAAACAATGTGATATTTAAACATATGTGTCCAATTTATTTTACTTAAAAGTACGGTCACAAGGAGCATCCATTTACCTAAAAATGTCTCGTTTGTCCTTTATGTCAGTGTAGTACTCCATTGTATATAAAAGCCACATTTTCTTTATGCATTCATCCATTGATGGGCATCTATGCTGTTTCCAAGATTTAGCTATTACAGATTGTGCTGCTATAAACATGTCTGTACATATATTGCTGTGGTATGATGCTTTTAACTGTTTTGGGAGGATACCAAGAAGGGGAATAACTGGGTCAAATGGAACCTCTGGTTTTAATTTTTCGAGGAATCTCCATACTGATTTTCACAGTGGTTGCACCATGCTTTACTTCCCCCAACAGTAGAGAAGGGTTTCTTTTTCTCCACAGCACCATCAGCATGTGTTATTAGTTGACATCTTGATAAAATCTATTCTTTCTGGATTGAGGTGGACTCTCAGTGTTTTTTTATTTGCATGTCTGAAATGACCAGTTATGTTGAACATTTTTCTATATATTTATTTGCTATTTCTACTTCCTCTGACAAGTATCTGCTCATTTCAGATGCCCATTTTTGGATTGGTTCTTTACATTTGAAGGGTGTGATTTTCTTTTTG